TGAAAGTATCTTATTTCTCCATCAATTTTGAAAGACAGTTTTCCAGGGCACATCAGTCTGGGTTGGAGGCTGTTTTCCTTTAGGCTTGGAATACATCACTCCAAGCTCTTCTTGCCTTGAGGGTTTGTGTTGAGAAGTCTGCTGTGATTCTGATGGGCTTTCCTTTGTATGTGATTAGTTTCTTTTGTCTAACTGCTTGTAGAATTTTGTTCTTCTGTTGGGTTTCTGAAATCTTAACAATTATATGCTGATATGTAGGTTTTTGTTTTTGTTTTTGTTTGGCACCAGGGATCGAATTCAGGACCTTGTGCTTGTGAGGTAGGCGCCAAAACCACTGGGCTAAATCCCCGGCCCCATGTGTAGATTTATTTTTATCAAGGCTGGTTGGAGTCCTATATGCCTCACTTATCTGTATGTCAAGTTCTTTTCCTCTGCTTGGGAATTTTTCTGCCATCACTTCTGTGAACAGTTTTTTTATGTCGTCTGCACTCTGTCCTGTTTCTTCATTGACTCTGATCAGTCTTATGTTATTCTTTTCATCATCTAGCAGCTGCTGGATTGATTTCTCGTGTTCCCTTACAATTTTAAAGAAGTTTTTCTTTTCCTGGTCACTAATTGCAATCTTATCTTCTATATCTGAAATTCTGTCCTCCCATTGGCTAATTCTGCTGCGTAGACTTTCAATGAAGTTTTTAATCTCCTGGAAATCTGTTTGCATCTGTCTTGTGGATTCCATTTGTTTCCTATGTTGTGATTCCATCATGTTCCTCAGCTCTATTTTTTTATCTGTGTCCTCTCTAGATTTATTAATCATGTCTTGCACTATAGGCACAATCCCTGCTGTTATCTAAGAAATTATTTCTGATTTCATTTTTCCCAGGTCCCCTTTCATTGCCAGTTCAGGGAGTTCAGGTGGTTGAGTATCAGAGTGCTCCATCTCATTTCCCTTTGGGGTTGCTTTAGGTGATCTGGAAGTCTGGTTTTGAGGCTTGTTTACGTCTCTTCTCATTTCGGCTGGGGGAGGGGTGCTGCTGGCACCCACGTGGCTCACCTCCTCTACGCTAGGAGCAGTGGTATGGTGACCCGGAAGCCTCCTCCTCTGCACTGGGAGTGGTAGTACCACCTTTCAATGTTAATAGAAAATTCCTATTAACTTCCAGCTTCTGAACTTTTTAATTAACTTCCAGTTTGCTGAAGTTTCTCTTTTACAGTTTAGCACTAATATTCCATACTGATATTGGAGTCAGTGAGTTATCCACTTACATTTCTTTATGTAAATAGGCTTGTAGTGAATACAGAACATGCTGATCAATTTTCTTGAGTAAACATGATAATATTACCAATAGTTTGTTTAGCTTTCAATATGACACCTGTCACTGTGTTAGAATATGTTTTGGTTTTTTTTTCGTACTAGGGATCGAACTTGGGTCCTTGCGCTTGTGCAGCAGGTGGCTAAACCACTGAGCTAAATACCCGGCCCCTAGGATATGTTTTAAATTCACCATCTCATTTAATCCTCAACAACCTCTGGAAAAGGTCCTGTTATCCTGTTGTTAAAACATAGTACTGAACTGAAAGACAACCCAGAAAATGTCTCCGTATCTTCCTGTGTTTGTGTGTCCTGAAATACCAGTGCTCCCAGGAAAGCAGCGGAGTCATTGCAGGGCCAAGTGCAAATGAGCACACCACCTCTAGACAAGTTCTCCTCTAGGAACAGGGCTATCCAGAAGTTGGAATGTATTTTCCCAAGGAAATGATGCTGTCACAACAAAAGCATAATGACCATTAGGTACTAAAGCAGGTAAAACTGCCATAAACCGTGCTGTTCACCACTATTGCCTAGCAAAGCACACTCAAGGATTTGCCCTCTAATTGCTTTGAACACATTTCTCCATCAGAGAGGGAGTAGGAGCCCGTGGGAATGGGTGGGAGGCAGGAGCCATGAATGGAACTGGCTCAGGGGCTGTAGAGTGAGGAGACTATGGATGCAGAACAGGATACAACCTATGAAAGTGAAGTTCCTGAGAGGAGAAGGAGAAGGCCAGAGAGCTGGGGACCCAGGACTCATTGGGCCTAATCCCCCAGTCTCTTTGCCTGCCTGCCGACTTATACAGGGCTTTCTGTGAAACTGAGACCAGACCTGTAGCTTTCCCCTACTCAGCTGCTTCTAAAGCAAACACAGTGGGCCTAAAGGTTTTAACTTCTATAAAGGAAAGAGCTCCTCGTAGGCCTTCCAGAACTCTCCCTTCTCAGTTGGACTCAAAGAGCAAATATCAGTCAGCAGGCACTTTGGATGGGTTTGTGGCCCCATAAGGGCTAAAATAAAATGTATAAGCATTTCAGATGCTTGCAGCCAGGCAAGGTGAGGCTTGTGAAAAAGTGAGGAATGCTCTGCTCCTTTATCTCTTCCTGTCTCTATGGTCCTCTGTCTTCCACCTCGGGTGGGGAAGAGGCCAGAGGCCAAGGTCCATAGGACAGTAGTTTAGCACCCATCACACTGAGGATGCCAGTGTCCTTGAGGGCCATGTCTCTCAGGGCTGTAGGGCTCACGGGCCTGCCTAAAGCTCAGCTCACCTCTGCAAGCACACCTCCTACCACCTCTTCTTTACCTAGCAGTACTGCCTCCTCATTGTCTCTGATGATGGGAATCATCTCTAGGCTGCTATAAAACCCTGCCTTTTGAGACCCTGTCCCAGACCCCCTGAATCAGTATCTCTACAGGAAGCCCCTGGAAAACTGATTAACAAGCGACCCCTAGATGATCCCACTGAGGAAATTTGGCCAACACTGCCCAATTGTCCCCCCCCCTTCACTGGTCTTCAGCGGTTCCCAGCACATTCTAAGCCCCTTCGTGGCTCAGAACCATTGAATGTGCCATTTCTTCCTGAACATGCTCTTTCTTGCTCCCTTCTCACAACGTGACCAAAACATGATTTCCTCGGAAAGACCATCCCTCACCTCTTCTCACCATCGAAACCAGGCTCCCCTCATTGATCCCCTCCTAACCTCTTGCTTTTGCTCTCAGCATTTATCACAGTTTGTGTCATGTTCATTTGCTTTAATGTCAGTCCCCTGCCCCCAGTACCAAACAGATACAGGGAGTGCATCATATTTTTACATGAGAGAATGAGTGGAAAAATCGTGTTGGAAGAGGGGTACTAAGGGTTGGGTTCAGGCCGGGGTTTCGCTGCCTGCTGCTCAAGCGCAAGGACCGGAGTTCAATCCCCGGTACCCAAAAAAAAACAAGAAACAAAAAACTAAAGGTTGGGTTGGATAGTGCTCAAAAACAAAGAAATGAACATATGAAAGTTTTAATCTCTCAAGTAAAACTTTTACATGTCAACTAAAATCAAAGTCGATGGGCCCAACAAGGAAATGTATTTATGGGTGCACTAGATCCGATTCCTTCAACAAATACTTAAAATCTGATGTATGCGGTATTGGAGAGCTATGGACACAGCAGTGAGCAAGACTGATATGATCTCTGTCTTGAGGAGCCTAGATTCTAGCAAGGATGACAGATCTAAAGCAACCACACATACAGTTTCATAGTTATAATTTTGATAAATGCAATGAAAGAATTACAGGGACCTGTAAGACCTTCTAGCAGGAAGATTTGACATGGTCTGTAAGGCATCAAACCAGTCACAGAATTTGGGAAACATGTGGCTGGGGAACCTCTGCCCAAAGAATCGGTTACGCTCTGCCCTGCCTCCTGTCAGAGCTGGCATGAGAGGAGGTACAATAAAACAGTTGCTCAGCCTCGGCACAACTGGCACTTTGTGCTAGTTAATTCTTTGTTTTGGGGCACTTTCCAATGCTTAGCAACATCCCTGGCCTCGACCCAGTAGCACCCACAGTTGTCTTGACATTGCCAAATGTCCATGGCAAGGGGAAGGATGTGTGACAGTCTGCCCCTCCTCCCCTCCCCAGTTAGGAACCACTTCTCTAGATGAAACTTGGTTTTTTAAAGATGTGTCTTCTAGCAGACATAGTGATGCATGCCTGGAATCCTAGCATTCTGGGAAGCTGAAGCAGGCGGATCCCAAGTTTGAGTCTAGCAGGGACAGTTTAGTGAAAAAGGAGGGGAGGGGTCTGGGGATGTAGCTCAATACAAAGGCCCTGGGTTCAATCCTCCAGACAGAAGGGGTGGGGAGGGAGGGAGGGAAGGAAGGAAAGAAAGGAGAAGGGAAGGAAGGAGGATCTTCTTACATTTTACCTAAAGCAGTAAAGCTATACTAGCCACTTTATTCACTAAACAACTATTGAGTGCCTGGCACTGGAGAACTGAAACATGTGTTTTCCTAAAGCTACATTCCTGTGGGGGGCAATGGATAGTCAATTCTGAAATGTATAATATTTCAGAAGGAAGGTATTGGTTGGTCATAGGTTGGTCATTTGAACGAAGTCTTGAAAGAAGTAAGGGAATGAGCTACACAAGAGGAAAGACCGAGAGCAGGAAGGAAGCATGAGGGTCTGTACTCAACCTCGCCTTCCAGCTGCAGGTCTGACCATACGCCTGTGTGTTTCAGAGGGTCCTGCGAAGAAGGGCAGCTGAGCGAACTCCAGAGCAGCCTTAACACCACAGCCTTTGTGCCCCTCCCCAGCTCCACAGGTGAGTGGTGGGCTCCTTGCAGGGACAGCAGGGAAGGGAGGGAGCAGCCACACACATTCTCTCTTCTAAGAACCCAGTGTCCAGACTCTTAAAGCATCAGCAGGTAGGGGTTTTGGTTCCATTCTTCTTTAAAGTAATGTGCCAGCCTAGGATAGGCATTTTCTGGAACTAGTTTGGGGTGAATGAAACTTCCCCATCGTGAATGCTCTCAGATGTGCAGCATCCAGTGAAAATGCTCTGCATTTGACTGGTATTTCACATTTCTATAGTATTTCCATCCACTGGCTCTCTCACTTAATCCTCACATCAGCCCCTATGAAGTGGATCTTCTCACCTTCCCCACATGAGGAAACTGAGGCTCTGAAATTGAGGGGCTTCTGGGAAGTTGCATGTGGATGCAGGTAGAGTCTATTCTTTGACCTAAGCCGGATCATGCTAATGCCACAGTCTATGGACAGGGTCTGTTGCATACATGTCAGTGAGGCAGCAGTGGGCCAGGGATAATTTTTTATACATCATAATTCATAAAAATATACTAAGTAATCAGATCAGTGATTTGAAAGAAGATCACTGAGTGATTTAGCAATTTAGACCCTGTCTCAAAATAAATAATAATGATTAGTAGTAGTAGTATTTTGAAAAAAAGACTGGAGATGTAGCTGAGTCAGAAGGCCCTCGCTTAATCCCCAGTATTATTAAACAGAAAGAAAGAAGAGAGGGAGGAAGGGAAGGAGCAGAAGAAAGGAAAGGCAAGCAAGCAGCAGGGAGTGTGCTGCAGGGAGTGTGCGGCAGGTAATATTGGGGATAATTTGGGAACTAGGGGCACATAGAATAAAGGCAGGGGAGATGACTGAGCATTTGCTGGATTAGGCTCAAAAGTTGTAAATACTTTATGTGTAATGACTCATTTGTTCACTAAACAGGCATATAATGTAAGAGCTATATTCCCTCTTCTGTGGCTGAAGATCATGAAATGTGTCCAATGACTTACAGCTAGTAAATGCTCAGGCAGTATTTGGCCCCAAGGAGTGGAGCTCAGATCTTTTGGGATTGGAAGGCTTCCTAGAGGAAGAAACAGTGCAGCAGAGACTGGAACATGGACTAGTCAGTTAGGAGAGGGAAGGAAGGAGCAGAAGGAGTTCCAGGAGAGTCATGGTGCTTGTAGAGGCTGGGAGTCAAAATGTCCTGTATTCCTTGAGCGCCCCTTGCTCAGCATGGCTGGGGATGAAGTAACAGGGCTGTTTATGAGCCCTTTGAGAACCTCGCTCATTGTTCTGCCAGCAATAAAGAGCTGTCAAGGAGTTCTGGCAGGGGTGCCAGAAGTGTAGGTAGGAGTTGGCATAATGCACCTTAAATAGTCACACGATCCTGGAAGCCCGGTGGCTTGGCTGTATCATAAGGATAATTATACATGTTTTATAGACTTGTGAGTATTATGTACAGAAGGGCTCTACACCTACACCCAGGTTAGGCAATACTAATATTCTGATAAAAGTATAAAGTTTTAGAGCCCTGAATCAAAGAAATATTTGGTAGGTAATATACTCATTCCCCCGCCCCACCCCCCAAAAAAAGAACCACTAGAATCTGGCAGTGGTTTTTATGTCGCTCTTTTGTGGTGCTAAGGAGAGAACCCAGGACCTTGCCCATGCTAGGCAAGTACTCTGCCACTGAGCTACATCCCCAGCCTTTAGAGCATGGCAATTCTTTTTAAGAGGTAAAATTTCGGGCCGGGGATTTAGCTCAGTGGTTTCTCCGCCTGCTGCGCAAGTGCAAGGACCCAAGTTCGATCCCCGGTACCAAAAAAAAAAAAAAAAAAAAAGAGGTAAAATTTCCTTGGCTCTGTGATGGAAAAGAAGTGAGGGCTGGGAGAATCTTGGGGGAACTTGAAGGAGATACAGCATTTAGAGCCCTTCAATGCTTGAAGTTTGCTTAAGCTGGAGAAGTATACAAGCGTGGAAGCTCCAGAAAGCCCTGACTACTTCATTTGCACATCTAGTTGGTGGATATTGAATTGAACTCTGTGTGCACTCTGGCTGAGGAAGTCAGAAATGTGAAGGGTTGTGGGGGTCATATGTGCAGCATCTTGACCGTAAATGGACGCTTTCTGACTCTTAGTGACATAATTTGAAAGATTTTATCATAATCATACTGAATTCAGCATCAGCATAAAATCATAGAGCAAAGAGAACTTATACTTCTCCCTGGCTTGTAATACTAACTGTTTCCCCCTACTTCCACATTAATGTAACAAGCAAATTATTCTTACCATGTTTATATAGCTTGTTATCACTGCTTTTGTCACCTAAAGACTAGGCCTCTAAATACCTTTAAATTTGTTCTACCTGTGAGTCTAGACATGGTAGCGCATGCCTACAATTCAGCACTCAGAAGGCTGAGGCAGGAGGATTGCCACAAGTTCAAGGCCAGCCTGAACGACAGAATGAGACCCTGTCTCAAAAAGCAAAACAAAAGAAAGACCAGTGGGCATGATATAGCAACCGGCATTCCTGTTCTTCCCAATAAAGGTTGTACCTGCCCACCATGAGCAACTAACTCTGTTACAGTTATTTGTACAACCAGTAACTCCTGGCATGTCAGTGTTTCAACTACAGATCCTGTGTCTTCTGTAGTACAGCTAGATTTGAAACAGTTATTCTAGAAGTTCAGAAGGGTGCCTTAGGAGAGGGAGAGGGCTAGGTTACCAGGAGCAACATTTTTCTTAAAACCCAGAAGGGAGAACAACCCCCATAATAGATCAGGAAGTTTACGTTCTCCTCGGGACTTGGGATCTGTGCCTGTACAGGGATCCATGACCCATCTCCAAAAGATATTTAGTCCCTGTCTTAGCCTGTAAACTCAGTTGGTTAAACATAGTACTAATGAGTCCACGAATGTAGCAAGTGTCTCTTTCCTGGCCCCTTAACCCTTCTATGTGTGGCCACCAAGGCTTTAACATACATGGCTTTATTCCTCAGGCAGTCTGAATAAGGTGGTGGTTTGTCATAATGCATAGTCCTTTCCTAATTACATTCTTTTTTACTGTGAATATTAGACAAAATAGTGAATGTGGAAGCCCCTAGCAGAAAGTGCCCAGAATGCTCCATGAATACTTTCCCTGACTTCTCCACCTTGGGCTGTGTATTCTAAGATTGCTATGGAAGGGAAGGGGTAGAGCCAGTGAATGTGGAAATAGGAGAAGGAAGCTGGAGTGAGGGCCATTGGCTTTCCCTCTTTATAACCATAGTGTTCATTCTTCTTGAGTTCTGAGGTGCTAATAGTGAACTAAAATAGCAGAGAGCAGCAGAGTAGACAACTGACATTTCTCTCATGCTGGTTTGATAATGTCAACTGCCAATATTGTAGGGGTCTGAAGCCACCCAGCTGCCCTACCTCTGCCCCTAGCTTCTGCCTACACCCTTCCCATCCTGGGCGCAGCTTCTTCACGCCTCCTCCTCCCGCCCTGAATCTAGGCTCTCATATTGCTCTGTAGTTGAAGGAGAAAACTGCACAACCTCTTGAAAATCAGTGACGAATTTCATTTACAAGAAGTAAGGAGCAGTGTTCATGGTGAATGTGTGTTTTGGGCCCTGGTGAAACGCGCTGTGGCTTTGTGCTCTGTGGATGAAAGGGCAGCAGCTCATCAGAGTGACTGTCCCTGCCTACATCCCTGTGTCTTTGCAACACCAGGAGTGATACAAAGGAAACCCAGTGGAGCTTAAATCCTGCGGACATCAGAGCCACTTTAATTTTCAAATGAATTACTTGCCTGGCAGCTCTCAATGGAATGCCCTATTTTTATCTTCAGATTCTTATTCTTTTGAGTGCATGGTATATAGCTGGTGAAGCCACTGGGTCTACCAACTCTGCATATGAGAGATTAGAAATAAAAATAAGCAAAGCTCTTGAGGTGCTTGCTGTAGTGTTGTAGGCCCTTTATTGTTCCCAAAAACCTTCTTCTCTTGGCAGGGCCAGGAGAGGAAGAATTTGTGCTGATGACCCAGCCCACTCTTCATGTGCTTTTAGAAAGCAAAAGAGGGACCATGGATTTGATGTTTGGCAGGAAGTGGGGTGGGAGGCTAGCATCTGTGAGAATAATGATCCTCCTTACCTAGTTTTGGATTTTATTTCTTGTCCTTTGGGCCAAGATCAATGTAGTCTGAAGTAGGCATTGTTTTCCACTTTTTCAGGATCTTTGGAAGTTCCCCAAGTTATTTTCACCAGATCCAAACCCTTACCCACACAATCTGGAGCCCTTGCTACAGTTATAGGACAGAGAAAATCAAAGTCGATGAAGTAAGGGCCAATTTAAGGTAATAGTAAGAATAAGAGCACATTTTTATTGTTATCCCTTTCTGACTTTATGCCACAGTAAGAGACTTCGTGTAGCTATCAAGAGAAGTGAGAGTTTGTCAAAATGACAGTGAAGAAGATGAAGATGTAGCTCAGTGGCAGAGCCCATGCTTAGTTTGAGACTCTGTCTTGATCCTCACAACCACCAAATAGACAAAAAAAAAAAAAAAAGACAACGAAGTTGGGATTTAAAGCTTAGAGAGGGCCGGGGATTTAGCTCAGTGGTTTTGCCGCCTGCTGTGCAAGCGCAAGGACCCGAATTTGATCCCAGGTACCAAAAAAAAAAAAGAAAGTTTAAGAGAGGCTGTCCAAAACCGCAGGTCAAAGTTTAGCTCCAAACAGCTTGCTCCTATTTTAGCCTACCAGTAGGTGGTGCTGTGGCAGTAAGAAATTTCTCTACTAGTATTACAGGCTTTTGTTTTAAAATACCAGGTCTGAGACAAATCAAAGAAAGAAATGAAAGCTATAGTAATTGAGTTATCACAGGTAAAGTAAAAGAGAATATATGGGAAAACAAATTTTAAAGATGAAGTTGCAGTAATCTCTAAAGAATTTTTTATTAAAGAAGGATTTTAGATAAGTCATTTGTGAACTGGACTTTTAGTTAATGGGGAGGTGAAGAAAGAACAAAAAAATTTTCTAAGCTT